AGATGGATGTAAAGTCCGCCTTCCTAAATGGAGTTCTTGAAGAGGAACTTTACATTCAGCAACCATCAGGCTATGAAGTCAAAGGGCATGAAGACAAGGTGTTGAAGTTGAAGAAGGCTCTTTACGGGCTAAAACAAGCACCAAGGGCATGGAATAGCCGAATCGACAAGTACTTCCAAGAGAATGGCTTCAACAAATGTCCCTACGAGCATGCTCTATATATCAAGATCAAAGATGAAGATATTTTGATCGTGTGCCTCTACGTGGACGATTTGATATTCACTGGAAGCAACCCAAGCATGTTTAATGAATTCAAGGATGTGATGATGAAAGAATTCGAGATGATAGACATGGGGCTCATGGCGTACTACCTTGGCATTGAAGTTAAGCAACAAAATGATGGAATTTTCATTTCACAGGAAAGCTATGCAAAGGAGATACTGAAGAAGTTCAAGATGGAGAACTGTAAGCCAATAAGCACTCCGGCAGAATACGGGATCAAGATGACCAAACATGAAGAAGGCGAAAGTGTAGATCCAATATTCTTCAAAAGTTTGGTAGGAAGTCTACGCTATCTAACTTGCACGAGACCCGATATTCTTCACGCAGTTGGATTGGTTAGTCGCTACATGGAATCCCCAACAACCACCCATTTTAAAGCCGCAAAGAGAATTCTTCGCTATCTGAAAGGTACAATTAACTTTGGCTTGTTCTATTCAGTTTCTAATGATTACAAGCTTGTTGGATATAGCGACAGTGATTGGGGTGGAGACATAGATAATCGAAGGAGCACTACTGGATTCGTATTTTTCATGGGAGATATTGCATTCACATGGATGTCAAAGAAACAACCGATTGTCACATTGTCCACTTGTGAAGCGGAATATGTTGCTGCTACCTCATGTGTTTGTCATGCAATTTGGCTTAGAAATCTATTGAAGGAGATTGGTTTGATACAAGAAGAGCCTACCAAGGTTTGTGTCGACAACAAGTCAGCCATTGCCTTAGCAAAGAATCCAGTATTCCATGATTGAAGCAAGCACATTGATATTCGCTACCACTATATAAGGGAGTGTGTTGCAAGAAAAGATGTGGAAGTTGAATATGTGAAGTCACAAGATCAAGTTGCTGATATTTTTACCAAGCCACTGACCAGCGAAGACTTCTTAAGATTAAGGAACCTACTAGGGGTCACGAGATCAAGTTTAAGGGAGGGTGTTGGATCATAAACTTGATCCATTATGGGAGCCTAAACCCAAACCCAAACTAAATTGATGTCATTACTTACATCATTTAATTAAAGATGTCATTGCTTACATCATTTAATTAATGATGTCATTGCTTACATCAATTTAGTTAGGTGAGAGTTAGATATTTGTTGAATTTGTAATGGTTTAAATTAGTTTATTTGTGTGGTGTAGGATTGTTCTTGAGTAGTATAAATACCCCTTCCCATTTTAGTTTTAAGCATCAAGAAAAATTAAGAGCTTCTAAGTGAGTGAAGAAGCAAAGTCTTATAAGAGTGAGTTGTAGTTCTTGTTTTTGAGTGAGAGTACTCTTGTAATATTTGTTTGAGTTTCAATAAAAGTTGTTTGTGTGAGTGTTTTATTTCCAACAAAAACTAGGAGCTGCCAGAGGACAACATCTAAAAACACCATCAAATGCAACCTCTAGCCAAAGTACACACAATACAGCTGCAGCAACAGCAGGCATTCAAACGCAACAAATCACCAAAGCACGAGAGTAGCAAATGAAAACCCGGTTGTAGAACATATAATGCTTCTGTACACTATGAACTCGTCAAACGCATCACCATACAAATGAAAACGCATCACCATACAAATGAAAATGCATCCTTAATGCTTGTCTAATGAATTATTTTACTAACGTTATTGCCAAAAAACGGGCCAACACTTAGGAACCATAGAAAGACTTTCCACTTCTCAATTCCATCCTGACACTCACTCCATGGAATAAGACAAACAGAAAATAAAAAGGAATGAAAAGAATCAAATCTGAACAGCCCATTCAATATGGTAGACTAGCAACACCCAACAACAACACCAAGCATTATACTTCTACAACAATCCCATCAACCCAAATTTCAATCTCAATGCCAGAGAAACCCATAGGCTACGAACAACCCCACACTCAAATCAAGCTAGACCCCATGGTCTACCAGCAACAACTAAGGATAATCAGCAATTAGGATAAGCTTCAGCAGAGAGAAATACCTGAGAGACGAAAGAGAGGAAATGACTGCAGCAAACAACAATGGACAATATAATCCAAACCTTGCATGCTTCTCTGACCCCGATTCCCAAAACCCCCAAACAAATTTAGGGTTTAAAGAGTTATTTCAGACCTTTCGAGCAAACCCACTCACTTAATTCAAGCTAAGAGACGATGAAGAGGTAACAACGACGACGACCAACAAACCACTTGAAGACGGAAAACCTCTTAAACGCGGGGCGGTGGCCGCCTCCACCACCCTCCTAGCTGCTAAAAGACAAACTAAATAAAAGGAAAAATGACAAAGGAAAAGAAAGAAAAGGATCGGCGGCCAGCAACCAGCCTTAAGGGCTGGTGCCGCCGCCTCACCGGCAAACTTTTGATTATCGCCCCGACAAGGTATTGAGAGAGCAAGAAGGTTGTGTTTCTCAATAAAAAATTCAAAAGACGAATAAACTTTCAAGAAAACTTAGCATCGAATTAAGTTCTTATAACTGCAATTTTGATTAATCAAGTCCCTTTACTAATGTTAATCACCTTGATTGTTACTTTTAATTGATATGACTAAGGAATCCTATAATAATAACATGTGTCACCGATAATGGATTAATTGATTATCTTTTTAAATGCTTCTTAAAATCTTAATTATTTTTAAATTTAGTATTTTGAGTATGATTTTTCAATTTAAATATGAATTAGATCTGTATCGATATTAATATTAATTAGATCAGATCTTAATCTTTAATTTAAAAGTTTTGTATTAATAATTTGACCATTAGACATTAATCACCATTTTATTATCATTTACACTTGCTTCATGAGGTTTCATCACCACTCTCCTTAACTTTAATTGTTTTGCATGAACAACTTGGATGAGGCAGTGTACTGAACTTTTCACCGTCCATGGAGAACATAATGATAGATTTCTCGCATGTTGAGAGTGAACGGTGAATCATCCAACAAAGAGCGTTATCGAGTACCACCGGAGACGATCTCGGTCGGACAGGATAAGGAAGGTTACATAGCCTTCTCCACTCGGTGGAATCTACAGTGAGTATATCATATTCAAAAAAGATGCCTGTGTTACTGTTACCTGTCTTGTGACAATGAAGCAGCTTTTACTCTTGCATTGACGAGTGATAAAAGAATCCACAATATCCATTTAGGGTAAACTTATAAGGATTATGAATAGCTATTAGTTCTTCTGTGATTGGATTGCAGATATAGATTTGATTGAGATTTCAGATTCTATTTGAGAACGAACTGAGATTTCCCACATAGAACTCATTCGGGAAGAAACTAGATTGAGAAAACCGACAAGATGAAAACAAAATCAACCCATTGCAAGAATCAACCGGAAGAACATCAAGTCTCCAACGTTTAACTACAAGTTTAATCAAAGACCTTTTAACGAAAACCGGTCCATCATCATCATCATCACGAGGAAAAACGAAACCCAGTTTTCGTGTATGGTTAGGCCACATAGGTTTTTGTTGGTAGCAAAGAAAGAAAGTGGAAGGAGACTGTCGGAGATGTGCGTGAACAAAAAGGGAGAGGAGATTAGGGCATACCATCTCTTGCAGACTATTCGACAGGACAACCACAGCTGGTTGGCAGGGAGCCGTCTTACTATTTCGACGACCAAGTCATCGGAAAGATGTTCAGAACCTCCGCCGTTAACCTTACCCTGACCATCACCAACACTAAGAAGCTTCTGGAGTGCAGACATGATCATCGATGTTTCAGAACCAAAGAACATAGAAGAAAATATGTTGGTGACTTGTGTTTTACTTTTACTAGGGTTTAGGGATGACAGACTTGTGATTATACTTATATACACGTATGGTTCTATTGTTAAGGAAGTATATTAATGGGCGGAGGCTAGTAAAGTTCTATGGGCTTTGTTTTATATAACTTATATTTTCTTTTTTCTTTTTGAAGTACTACTAATAAAAGGAATAATGTTAAAATCTATTTTTATTGGTGTGATTATTTTTATTCTTATCTTTTTAATTATTTTTAATGGTGTGATTCCTCTGGTGCTACTTTATTGACTTCCAATAAGCAAATTGGAAACTACTCGATGCCTAAAGCTGAAATATGGGCGATATACAAAGGTCTAAAACTTGCATGGGATCATGATTTTGAAAGGTTGATCGTGCAAACAGATCGTGAAGATGCTTATAGACTCCTTTCTCCTCCTGATACTAGCCCTTTTGCTTTGGTGACGGCGATAGCTGATCTTTGTACCAAAGCTTGGTTTATAGATTTCCAGAAAATATATCGAGAAACAAATATCACCGCGGACTTCAATGCGAAGATGGACACCTCCTCGGATGGTTCGACTACCATTTTTCCATTGCTTCCACCTCAACTGCTTCGTATACTAGAGAGAGACCTTGATGGTCCCCCATCTACGTATAAGAGTTTAATGTACTAGCTTTTGCTTCTCCCACTAAAAAAAACAGAGCAAAGTGTTTGCTGCTGCTAATGGTTATTGCTTGGCTAATGAACTGGACTATTTTGGGGTATGTTTTGTTTGTTCTTGTTTTGCGGTGTATTTCGATGCTTTCTTTTGTGTTCTAGTTTCATTGAAGCACCAGTTAGTAATATTTTGATCTTTGACTAATTTTGCTTATATTAATAAAATTACATTTGCTGTGCAAAAATAAATAAATAAATAAGAGCAACATCTTTAATCAAATTTTGATATATGATATCTATGATTTAACTAAACAAGCAAGCAAATAATCTCCTACATGATGCATCTAATTCACATAAATTCTAGATAATCCAGGATAAAAGTTGGTCAATGAGACCATACTTTTGGTGTAACTGGTATGCCCTAAATACTTACTCAAGAACTTAGCACTCCCATTTAATTTAACCTTCTCCACTGTATTCGTCGATAAATTGTAGTGAAACACTCCCTTTTGTGGCCAGACTAGTAATATTTTCCCATCCTGAATGCTCACAAGTTTTACATGGCAATTATCCGGAATGCTCCCCAAAAAATAGCTCTCAAAACTTGGATTAAAATCAAGATGGTAGATCCGATGCCAACGCACCACCGCGGTATAATAGTCGCCCTTGCCGCAGACGTCAGCAGCCCATGCAAAGACATCTTGTCCTGACAAATACCAACATGTTAGTCGACCGTCCATCTCTAACAGATGCATCCGATGATGGGATTTCATCGTTTGGCATGGACAACTTGGATGAGGCAGTGTACTAAACTTTTCATCGTCCATGGTGAACATCATGATAGATTTCTCACATGTGGATGATGAACGGTGAATCATCCAGTAAAGCGTGTTATCAAGTACCACCGGAGACGATCCCGGTCGGACGCGATAAGGAAGGGTACATAACCTTCTCCACTTGGTGGAACCTAGAGTGAGTACATCATATTCAAAAAGGGTGTCTGTGTTACTTGTACCTGTCGTGTGAAAATGGAGCAGCCTGTACTCTTGCATTGATGAATGATAAAAGAATCCACAATATCCACTTAGGGTAAAATTATAAGGATTATGAATAGCTATTAGTTCTCCGGTGACCGGATTGCAGATATAGATTTGATCGAGATCGCGGATTCTAGTCGAAAACAAACCGAGATTTCCCACTTGGAACTCAATTGGTAAGAAAGTAGAACCAGAAAAAAACCAACAAGACGAAAGAAAAATCAACCCATTGCAAGAAGAAACGGGAACAACACCATCAAGCTTCCAACGTTCAGCTAAAAGTTTATTCAAAGACCTTTTGACAAAAACCGATCCATTGGCATCATCATCATCATGAGGAAAAACGAAATCCAGTTTTCTTGTATGATTAGGCCACATAGGATTCTGTTGGTAGCAAAGAAAGAAAGTGGAAGGAGATTGTCGGACATGCGCATGAGCAAAAGAGGGAGAGGAGATTAGGGCATACCATCTCTTGCAGACTAGTCGACAAGCCAACCACAGCTGGTCGGCAGGGAGCCATCTCAGTATTTCGATGACCAAATCATCGGAAAGATATTCAAAACCTCCGCCGTTTACCTTACCCTGACCTTCACCAACACTAAGCAGCTTCTGAAGTGAAGACACGATCGATGTTTCAAAACTAAAGAACATAGAAGAAAACATGTCGGTGACTAGGGTTTTACTTTTACTAGGGTTTAGGGTTCACAGGCTTGTGATTATACTTATATTATATACACTTATGGTTTTATTGTTAAGGAAGAATATTAATGGGCTTTGGATTATGGAACTTGCACGATTAATGAGGAAGATGGAATTAATAATTAATATATTTTTATAAAAATATTTAATTAATTTCATTTACAATTTCATTTAAATACTATTTTTATAATTAATATCATAATTAATATATTTTTACAAGTAAATTTAATCAATTACAACTTAATTTAAATACTATTTTCATCAGACAAATATTATCTAAAATGAACTCTAAGACTAATAATTAATTTGTTACTAACTTCACTTATGATAAAATTAATAATCTTTAAAATACATCTAATTCACAAGGATTTTGGATAAACCAGGATACAAGTTCAAACTTGTGGTAGGTAATCAGTAAATATACTTCCTCGAACTAATTGATTCCCTTGAATTTGAGGTACTTAAAGTATTTAATGTTTTTCATCTATGTTTTAAAAAGTTGACATGTGGTTATATTTAAAGAATACTTGAGGTACTTAGATGAAAAAGATTGAATACTTTAGGTACCTTCTTATTTTCATTTTTCTTGCATTTGCATCTTCATGACATAAAGGTGTTAATTCGTAAATGATTGCAGTATTGAAAGGCACTCATAATGAAACAAGGATTTTCTTAGCCAAGTCATCTAGATCAAATGCTCGATGATGATCCAAGGACCGACAAAGAAAGGCAACCGATGGAAGAAAGAATTCAAAGATGATTGATGATTTCATTCGAAGGTGTGAAGACCGAGATACTCTCTACAAGTCGGATGCAAGTTAAGGCAAGAATGAGAAAACTCTTCACAGAGACATAAGGGTCATTTCGAAACCTCAAGATTCGATAATAGACAAAAGGAAGACATGAACATCATCAATTGCGAGAGATGGCTCAACCTTAGGGCAACAATGAATGTGAGTGTAATATCGGAAGATGGTTCAAAGAAATGAAGACATATATTTGTTCTAAGCATCTGGTGTAATGAAACCTTGTTGTCTAAGTGAAGGTTGTTCTACAATGATCAATTTCGAAATTAACATCTTTTGCATCTACATCCGCATTTTAAGTATTTTTTACATACATTCGGTCATTAAAATAAGAGAATAATTTGTGGAGGATTCCATGAAAGAGATTTTGAAAGAAAATAGAATTCATCCTAATCATACCAAGTTGATCGTGAGCCATGAATGAGATATTAAAGTGGATTAATAGAATCAAGAGTCTTCATGAACAACTTGTGAAAACTCAACAAGAGATGAATAATCAAGCGAAGATATTTCAAGACGAATCAAGAGAGAAGATGTCTAAATTGATGCACATAATGACTATTGTGATCCATGGGAAGAAGCCACTAGAGGATCCTGCTACAAAAACCTTGAATGAGAATCTAAATATTAGTTGTGGGACCAAAGTGACATTAGCAAATGACCCAGAGCCAGTTAAAGAGCAAGATAACTCAACTCATCTCTCAAAATTAGATGTGGTTCCAGACGACACCATTGAATTGATAATGAATGAAGACACAACGAAAGATGAATGTTTCATGTTTCCTTATAAGAGATGGGCCTCACTCGAAGAAGTAGGATCCCGCTACAAAGCCCTTGAATGAGAATCTAAATATTAGTTTTTTTTGCTCAGCAAAATATGTTTTATTAAGGATATGAAAAAGCGAAACTCAAGGCCTAAGTTGTGTGCCTCATTAAAAACCTCCCTATACCTAATTGGAGGAAAAGAGTACAACACAACTAGGAATAGTTACAACTCAACAACTGATTTCTACGGACTATCATCTAAAAAGTGATTGAACAAAACAATTAAAAAATGCAGCATATCGCAATTACAAACCCGACCAATTCTCTGCTGATAAAGTTTTCACAAAGAGATTCAAATCCATCTTTTCAAGTCACACTTCACCCCATTCTCCAAATAAGCTTAATGCTCACCAACTACCCAAAGATACCTACATAATCAAAACTCAAAACACCAGCGACAACATCCAGTTCAGACAGAAAACATACAACACCAACCAAAACTCAATTCAGTATGAAAACACACAAACCCAACTTAATTTAGTATAAAAACACACAAAACCAGCATCTAACAGCAAAAACTACAAAACTTCCCCTCAGCCTTCTAGTTACAGAGAGAGAATGATGGAATAAGTTTAAAGCAAGATCAACAAAAACCAGTAGAGCAAAAGAACGTCTCTGTCAACAGAACAACAGAAAAATATGGAGTATACAAGGTGGAGATGCCGGACGTAGATGAGGTCATTATACTTGTGGATAAGAAACGTAGGCCTTCTCCAATTAGATTGAACAGAAACGACAGCATTAAGATTACCAAGCAATATGCCAAATAGCCACCCACAGTCCTGTCGGAACATCTCCGTAACCACTCAGTTCCGAAATAGTAAACCTACAGCCTGCAAACTTCTTCTTCGACTGAAATTTTCTAAACCCGAAATTTTACTCCCTGCAATTCAACTAAAAGGCAATGGATTGGGATTGGGATACTCATTCTGATGCCTCGCTAGCCAAAATTTCCCGAACCAAAATCTCTTCTGAACCTTTAAATTATATTCCTAATTCTCTTCCAATCTGTAAAGTTTTCATCACTTCTCTCTTTTGGATCATCCATCTTGCTTGAAGATCAGAATCGGATAAAGATCTTCCTTCTAATTCAGTCGAATCTTCCTCACACTCTACCTTCTTCTTATTTTTCTTTATTCGACATCTTTTATTCTTCCTTGGGATGTTTGTAAATTTATCCTGAATGCTTTGTAAAGAACTGTATTTTTTGTTTTTCCCCAATTTTGATTTTTGGTTCTGTCTGGCTTTGCAAAATAGAATATCCTCATTCAAATAGGTTGAAACATTGAACCTCTGTTCCAGATCCTCCCACTCTTTCCCTGAATTGGTCTTTCCCCCTATTTGATATGCTATTACCCCATCCTCTTTGCCTTCCCCCCTTACTTTTTTTGTTAACACCTATATAATTAAGGCCCATACAAAACACATCCTCCACTTCCCGAGTATCTGATTGTCCTTCCCAAAAAGACAACTCTTCTAACTTATCTTTTATATCCTTATTGACACATACTGGATTAAATAACTTCTTACTAACTTCTAATTCCTCTCTCTCCTCATGGCCCACCGCAACATTACTTTGCTTCTGAACAATCCCAGCTTCATTATCATTGTTTCTCAGACCCTTAATTGTTTCCTCACTAATGTTTCTTTCCACCACCTCCTCACCCGACAAGCAACAGCCTATAAGAATATTTCCCATGTAACTTAATTGAATTTCGGCTTCCTCAATCCACCTTCCGTTGCTTTTTTCTTCCGATGAGACCCTGGTTCTTCCTGACGATGACTCTGAATCAACAACCACCGGACACTCTTTTTCTTCTTGCTTTCGAACAATTGTAACACCTCTGCATATCATTTGTTCCAGAAATCTAACTTTAAATATGTCTCTACCAGCTTCAAGATCGATAACTTCATCAATTGACTCTCTCATGTTCGTTGCAATAAGAATCGTCATCTCCTCACAGCCCATTGCTTGAAAAGCAGTATCTCCCATTGCTAAATATTCACCCCATTGCTCAGCTATCCTCTTGAACTTGGTATGATTCCAACAATGCAACGGCACACCAAATAGTTTAATCCAAGTTACTCTTTGAGATGATCTATACGATTCTAACCATGGTTGTGGGGCTAAAGTGACATCAGCATATGACCCAAAGCCAGTTAAAGAGCAAGGTAACTTAAGTCAGCTCTCGAAATTAGATGTGGTTCCAGACGACACTGTTGAATTGATAATGAATGAAGACACAACGAAAGATGAATGTTTCCTTATACGAGATGAGCCTAACTCAAAGAAGGACATAGAAGAAGACCAAATGTTGATCAAGAAGACTAAAAAGGGTTAGGCTCTTTTCCTAACAGCCCATACAGGGAAATCTTGTCCCAACAAACACTTACATGTTAACCGACCATCCATCTCTAATATATTCATCCGATCCTTGGATTCAATTGTTTGGCAACTCGCTAATCTTAGCCGAATCGAATTCAATATCATATGAAAACCATCAAGTTAAATTTTTCGTAAGCGCTTGCATTACAAACATGGATCGTGTACTTTTGTAGTTAAGAAGTCGAAAAGCTAGCTTCCAGTTATTGTATTTTTTTGACATTCTAAATTTAATCTTAATCTTATTTAGAAGTGAGTGGAAGAGAGCACTTAAGGGAAGAAAGGGAAATACTCTTAGTACCCATAACTTAAGAAAATATGAGGAAACAAAGATGAACAACTTATTCAACTTACCAAATGTCCATGCTTATTAAAAACCATTTAAGTAATATTCTTAAATTTGGAATCAAAAAATTATATGAGTCTATCGATATAAATAGATATTTTATCAATTAAATTATTTGATATTTGCGTCCAATTAAATTTCATCTTGTCAAATTAATCGAAAGTTCTTTACTTGATGTGAATTGATAATTGAATGAAAAAGGATGAACTTGGAAAGTCCTTTTTTTTAAGGAGGATATTTTGTATTAAGAATAGTTACAAAGTACACCACCTCAAGGACCTCATTAAAAAATCTCCCTAATCCTAAATGGAGGAAAAAGAGTGTGCCTTGAGGTGGTAGAAATCAGAAAACACAAAGTTGTAACATCACACATACCATACTCCAGTCCTATAACACCCCAAAACCATTACAAGAAATACAACACAAATAAACTATAAAAATGCATTGAGAACTAAAAGGAGATCGGACACCGATAGCATGGCCAACGTAACGAACCAAAACAACACACGTGATAGCGCCCGCAACCAGAGCTTGATCGAAGACTATCCCTAATCCATGGAGAACCACACTTGCATAAACTGAACCAATGAAGGAGTAAGGACAA